TTAAAACAATTTACTTTCAATATTCATTCGCAGTAATCGAATTTTTAAAAGTTAAATATAAATTTTAATAGTTTTACAAAAAGTTGATAAAAATTATCAAATTTGAATCCAACGAAATTTTAAAAATTTTAATTTACTTAAAATTTCTTTTCTTTATGTCCGCAAATGAGAGGTACCCATACTGCATATACTTCGTGCTCAATCTCGTGATTTTCTAGAAAAATATTGCGTACTAATAGGAAAAATTATAAGCATAAAATCCTAAAAATATTTCTAGAAACCTTACAAAAAAACAAGTTTATTTTCTATTCTAAACTATTAATTTTTTGCTCAATCTCAAATATCTCTCGATGGTTGTTCAAGTTTCAGTTCTATTAGAGCTGATCAATTTAAGTTTAGAAAAATCTATCCAATCTAAAAATGTCTTGCAAGATTTAAATTCAAAATAAATCTATGAAAACTGAATGTTTAAATTTAAATTTAAAATTGATTTAAAGGAAAGTTGCATTCCTAAGTACTTTTCATTTAACAATCTAAAAGATAATTTAAAAAGAAGAACAGTTCATATTTAATGTCCGCGCCAGAATGAAAGAGCAGTGGGTCTAAGCGCAATATCTCGATAACGGCAATAGTTAGCGATCTGCGGCTTTTACCAATTGACAGAGAAGAAGTTGGGATATCTTTTTCCTCGATCATGTATAAGACGAAATCCTTTTAAAACTAATCATCTTCAAAAAATATGGAAAAGAATGTATGAAAATAACCTACCATCTTAGTGAAATTTTGAATCTGACCTTTGATTTAGATAGAGGAACTTGAGATCTATAGTTTAAAATAAAATTCGTTTCTTACTTTTCATTAAGTTTTCATTGAAATGTCAAGCTATTATGGTAACAAGTGTGAAAACTTAGCAAAAACCAGCAAAACTTCCTATGATTTGTGCATGAAAATAAATAATTCCATTTGTTCAACCTTAGAATGTAATAAGAGAACCACTTGCATTGTATCTTGAACAATAGATCTCAAGTCCCTCTATCTATATCAAAGGTCAAAATTAAGATTTCACTTAGATGGCAGGTCATTTTCATACATTCTTTTACATATTTTTTGAAGATGATTAGTTTTAGAAGGATTTTGTCTTTTACATGGTCGAGGAAAAAGATATCTCGACTTGCCCTCTTTCAATTGGTGAAAATCGCAAGTCGCTAACTATTGCCGCTACTGAGATATTGGGCTTACACCCGCCCCTCTCTCATTCTGGCGCGGACATTAGTTTAGATGTCCGACGACTTATCACCGTAAGTACGCATGTCCTAATCTGGTTCTTTGCACTTGTTCGATAATTGTCGAGTAGTCGAAATTAAGACATCTGTCATTTTTTTTTTATTTTGAACCATCGGTTGAAAATTATTCGACTAGTCGAAAACACATGGATTTATTGACCCATCGCCGAGCCCTCGGCTTATCGGAAAGTGAGAATTCGAACGCTCGATTTGAAATTTCGATGGGCACGACACCCTTGAATCGACTGGTCGAAATGTCTATCGGATGACAACTTGGGCTGATTCTATATTTCTACACTATTCAAACTTCGAAGCAAACATTTAACTAAAGAAATAATAATAAATATGTTTATCAGAAATTCCATTTCCATGAATAATAATTGTAAAAATATTCAAAATTAATTGATTTCAATAAAAATTTTGATCATGCACTAATCATTTCTTACTTTGATATTATTGCATTTTACATGTGTATATTCGCACAGTAATTTTGAAAACAAGTTTCACTTACCTTTTTTCGTTATGACAGAAGCATTACTTGAAAAACGACTTTTTTTACTTTTTTTCTCCAAGTGAAGAACGGAAGAAAATCATGCTGTAAAAGAATGTCGTAAGCAAAATCTCAGAATACTTATGCGAAAAAAAACTCTTTCTAGTCGAATGAATCATAAAATAACGTCTGCGTTCTGTTGCCAATCGATTGTATAATTGTGTGCCGTTTAATATAAACACAATTATATTCACGATCAATAAATCAACTATTGATTTAAATCATATCGGATAGTTCCTTTTTTATTCAAGGAAGGGTGTGAGTGTGGGTGTAATTGTCAGAACCTTACTCACAGCCACACTCGCACTCCAGATTTAGATTTATCTTCAACTTTCCTTTTCTCTAAACAAAAGTGTGGTTGTGGATATTAATAAAGGGAACACCTACACCCCCACACCCTACACCCACACCCACACCCACACCCTAGCCTGAAAGCTACAGCTAAAAATAAAACGTCAATTTATTTAGATATTGCATTTTCAAGTAAATTTTATTTTAGCCATATTTTGTTTATGCTGCAAATTTCAGATGATTCAAAATGTTATTAAGGTCTTATCCTTAAGATAAGTCACTTCTAGTCGGAGGGATCGAAATTGAGATAAATACATGAAAAGATAGCCCGTGATCTGGTCTTTTAGAAACGACAAAAACTTTTACTCTGTTTATCGATTTTTACAAAGACCGACAATCTTTTTCATTTTTGTCAGTTCATGATATCTAGAAGGTGCAACCCGAATTTCTCTGTCGAAGTTTGTTCAATATATTAATAAATTCTTTTTGTTTGAAAGAGTAAATCAAGATGCAGGGCATGACGTCGTGCTTGTTTTTTCATTATGTTTTTTCTTACACTTATATGAATTGGCGCTCATTAATTGAACTTATGATCCATATTTTGCGCTTAAAAAGTAAGTATTTTAAAAGAAAAAGGGGCAGCATCATGCCCTGCATCTTGGTGTACTCTTTCAAACAAAAAAAAATATTAATTTATTGAATGAACTTGGGCAGAGAAATTTGGATTGCCTAATCTGCTATTTTTTATCCTTGTTTGGTCAATATCTCCATGAAACATAACGATTTCGGGCTGAAATTTTTATGATAGCCTTCTCATGCTAGTCCTATAACATATCCTTCAAAAGTCAGACCGTTCCTAGGCTGAGATCGACTTTTGAGGGGGAAAGAACGGTCATAAATCGATTAATCGGCGAAATTACAGACCGAAATTCGGTTATTTATTTTTTGAATACATATTGAACGATGGGTCGAAAATACACTAAAACGATCATAATACAACTTCTTTCAGGTTTTTTTCTACTCTCAGCGAGTTTTGTTTTTATTAGCTTAATATGAGTTCAAATGGAGAGAAGCCTTGAAAATATATGATTTTTTTTTAATATTTACATATAGCAGAAGAAGTTGAAATCTCAGAAGATAAATTAAACAATTTTTAATTTTAAAAAATAAAAATAGACATGATCGATTTAAGATGATAGACGTTCAACAGATGTGAATCATGATGTTATGAATAGTATTTCATCTGAGTAAGTTTCTTTTTGTAATAGAAAAAATTCAAAATTGATTGCATATTTTTATTTCTTTTAGTGATACAATGGAATTCGATAAGGTAAAATTAATTATATCCACAGAAGATTCGATAAAGCTAGATTTTTTATTTTTGAATTGAATTATTTATTGAATATTACTATGTCGTATGTATTCATTCATTAAATATAACCGTATAACTTAGAAATCGACATCTTGTCTTATAATTTGTTCAAAAGTGAATTGAATAGATTCACATTGTTATCGAACGTTGTTAAAAAGAAACAATAATATACATGTTCTAAATAGCTTTACTGTATAAATACGAAATCAAGTCTTGAAAAGATTCGAATCGGTAGATCGAATTCGGATATGATTCAGTAGTTTATCTTCTGTAATACTACAGAAAAAACGAGATTTTCTGCAAATTAGGATAGTTCTCTTTATTTCTTCATGCAGCTTTGTGCTTGGAATAGTCGTTTATATATTCTATTGCACGATATCTAGCCGAACTTGAGTCTAAAAGATAGGCCGAAATGCTAAGCTTTTTGATATTTGAAGAGATCTGATTCAAAAATTTTCTCTTTGCTTAAATTAGGAATCATGAAGTTGATACTTCTCAGCTAAAGGAACTGACGCCTATATTCCTTCTTCCGCATAGGTTTTTCATCTGGCTAAGTTTTGATTGAGGATCGTATGAAGATAAGAAATCTCTGGAGCCAACCTTGGACATTTTTAATAAAAGAGCCATTCTGATAAATAACATGATAAAAAATGGGTAGTATTTCGAGATTTTGACTATCAGAAACCGATTTTTATGAAAAATAAGCGTAATATTCGGAATCAGCATGCAAAAATGTACCAGCGGCTCTATTTTTGAGCGAAATTTTGACCCGTAGGGGTGGTGTCAGGTTAAAGTTTTAGGAATAAATGGTTGAGGAAGGTAGAGATCTAATTTTGATAGAAAAATAGTTACTGATACGCTGTTACATGCTGATTTCAAGTATCATCCTTATTTTTCATCTAAATGAACTTTTGATAGTTAAAATCTCGAAATATTACCCATTTTTATAATCTTTTCTATGAAAATGGTTCTTTTCTAAGGTTTCTTGCTAATATCAAAAATGTCCAAGGTCTAGTTCAATTATTTTATACATTCATATGATCCTTAATCAAAAACTAATCAAACGAAAAAACGAAATTGTATCGAACAAAGTGTGTAGCTCATGGAATAAGCGCCACTTCCTTTCACTTTAAGCTCAATGACGAGAAATAGTCAAATGAGAAAAATACAAGCAGTGAATGAAATAAAAAAATGGCAAGCTCAATACAGATTATGTAGAAAAGTAAAATTTTAAATCAATGAAGTTTTAAAAGAAGAGGTTCCTGTTCGTATTCATCGTCTATTATAGGTCATCCTTCGTAATATTATTGTGCTTTTATATATTCAAGTCGACATTTTAAGGGACTTGTTATAAACTTGGTTGATTGCCTTTTGTATACATCTAAATTAATTTGATTTTCTGTGATGAAATGAATTTTGGATGATTTAAACATTCATTATAATTTCTTTTCAGGATCAACATGTAAATGAAAAACAAAAGAAAAGTAAATAAAAATCATGCAAAATGATTATTGATGAATGTCCATTAACATTTGATGGAGAAGATGGTCTTACTCAAGCAAATCATTCTGTTGAATTTTGTGAATATGAAAAAGATCGTCGATTTCTACTATATGATCATTTTATCAAAAAGCATAAATTAAAAGAAGTTTGTGCTCAACGTTTAATACAAGCTGTTGCCGATAATCACGATCCTAGAACAACAAAATTATTTGATGAAAATGAAAGCATAATTGATTATCTTTGGAAAGTTCCATGTCCTTTTATTTATGGACGACTTGATTTAATGGAATATAGTCAGAAATATTTAAAAAATATACCATGTTCAAATTATTCAATTTGATTTGATTATGTAAAACAGCATTTACGACATCAGCATCATGTTTGCAATGGGTTTGCACAAAAATTAGTTGATATTTTCAAAACGATTCGATCAAAATATAATACTACTTCGACTTCATTAACTTCATTGACATAATCAAAAGAACAGAATTCAATTATTTGAAACATATATTAAGTAATTCGCTACTATCAATGTTTGATTAGATTTTTCCAGTTCAAGATAATAAATCGACAAGAACACACTAACGAGAAAATATTTCATTGTTGAAAACTACTCGTTCTCAGTACGACTAAGTTAAACTTTAAAGGATTAGACTCCATGGCTTACTGATAAACAGGGTATGAGTATGGGTGTCGATGAAAACAGATCACCCACACCCACTATTTTATCTTATTCTTTGTTGGATAACGCTACTGGAACTGTCCCAAAAAGTGGAAAGATGTTTTCGTCGAACTTTCAACTATAAAATAACTGATACATTTAATGTCATCAGAAGTCTTATGGATATGAGGGTCAACATAGTATACATGGAAAAGATTTTATCCTGGTCGACTTCTGCGAAGACAACACTATAAAGACGAGTAGTTACAACGGCAAATTGAGAGTTTCTCCTGTTCGACTGAATTTATTTGAAGTAGCATGTGGGACAAAATAAGCACTTTTATGTCATCTGCACTTCCTTATCAAGCGTAAGATACAATAGTTTAAATAGCAAACAATCTTGATATATTGAAGTAATTTATTTAGCATGATCTAGGACAGTGAGGAGGAATAACATAATCACTATCACTTGCGTGAGGAGTGAAATTATAAATCTCAATAGTGCGAGTAGAAAGTGCTACCAGCTGACCGGTGCTTGTTACAGTTTGACGATTAACAATATCCTCATGAATTAATGCACACAATGGAACATTGCTTTTGTCATTAGCAAAATTTTGAGCAACAAAATTATGAGTTGTTTGGATGGTGTTAGGGCCAGCAATCTTGGTACTGTTGGATCCGTATAACTGAGCTTTAAATCCTACACCTATACCAATGTTATCAATAAATTGTAGTGCATCTGTAACACAAGTAATATGGTAGATACCAGATGGCTTGGTGGTTCTCTTGCAGGTACACTGTTTAGCATCGTATGTAAACTCAAAACCGAGAAGAGATGTCTTGTCAGTGATAAAACCAAGAGTGGTTCCTTCAAAGAATGGTCCAGTACCATAAGGTTCTGCGCTAAAATCGATACGATATCGGTAGTTGTCTAAATCAGGATAGTGTATGTATGACATGATAATGTTGCTTGTGGCACAACCACTTGCTGTACAGTTACTCAATGTGACAGAGGAGTCGCGTACACTTACACGATGGCCTCTTGGCATGCAACAGATATCAGAATCTGCTACTACGACGTAAACAAATAGGAAATTAATCAAGAAGGTGATAACACTCTTGTAGCTGGTCATTCTTTGTGTGAAGAAAACGAATAGAATGAATTTTAATTACAAAACAATCTAAAAGCAACATAGTTGTAACTGGGAATAGTAACAGTTATTTAGCATTTCTATTATTAATTTATGCCAATTTTTGTAAAGTAGGACCCTCCAACAAAATAAAAACGTTGTCATGATTCCTAACATTGACACTAGGGTTGTCACATTTGCGTTACTTGTAAACGTAACTACTTTGTTTTCACCATAAAATGTCTTGATGCCGGAAGTCATATATTAGAGAAAAGAGCGCAAAATTCTGAGACAATCTGACACATTGTATGTGTCTTAAATACAAACGGTCGTGATTTTTCAGGTAGAACAAAAAGTAGTTACTTTTGAATGTAACGTAAATGTGAAGGCGCTAAATGACACCAAGCATAACAACTTCACCATTCATTCCTATACAGACATAAAGTTTCTGCTTCACCAAGACCGCTGATTACCCAGATTCATAGATTAGAAGCCTGTGGAGCTTCTATTATGGCCGGATGTTGAATTTGCTTCGTGAAATTGTTTTAAAAACTCGATTTAAACATATAAAAATTTTAAAAAAGCAAACTGGAATAATCACTATAAATTGGCAATACCTCAGCTATGCACGCCGAGATTTTTCTCGAAGGGAGACTGCTAGTATGGAGGGGTCTAGTAGAGTACCTATGATCATTTCCTACACATGGAAATATAATCTCTTTGCAAACTTTTTAAAAAATCTCTGAGTATTAAAAAAATACAAAATAGCTAGCGCATACTTTGCCTGATTAGGCTCACGTTGGTCTTGAAAGACTGCGAACGTCATACGAACAAATATTTGCAGCGACATTGTGAGTTTTCTCTTCCGAAACCCAGTTATTGAAATAATTCATATTAGAAAGGAAAATTCACAATTCCGATCTACATATTTTGTTTGTTAGACAACTCTCTTGTGTTTAGGATCAAGCTGAGTGAAATCTGACAAGTGGCGATTTCTAGATGGAAGTGCCAGCAGTGATGGAACTACGCTGCGTTGCATTTCTTTCTATCAAGAACCGCGTCGTTTTCATACAAAGCATACGCTTATATACTAATCTATCCGAGAGAAGCAAAGAATACGAAAGGAAAAGAACAACGATAACAAAATAAGCACAACATGACAGAGGCAAAATACAACAAGATGTAAGCAATAAGGACAAAGATAAGGTCAATATATAAGATGAAAAGACATAGTAAGAAGAGGATAAATATCATGCACACAATGCACTATACCAGAGTATTACACACACGTTGAAAAAAGGCACTTACCATATTTGAACATAGGAGCTTGCAGTAAATGGGTGTAGTTCAGTCAAAGAAGGTGCTAAGATAACTAGTGCTCACTATTGAGTGCACAAGGAAGATATGAATTTAAGAGAGTTGTTAAAATTTTCGAAAACCAAGTTCTACTATCACTTGAAAATCGTGTCTAGGAAGTGGCATCCTAACTATTCAAATCAGGAGCGTGATCACTCATGTTTTCGTTTCGAACTCTGAGAGAAAAGGGAATTGCTTTTTAAAGTGGCAGCCAAGAGAAGCATATACACTCAAGTTCCGAGACCGATGAATGACAAGTTGAAAAAAAATTCTTTTTATAGGGAGAAAATAAGCTACTGAATATCTGTTAAAAATCAGGCCCATCCGGGAAGTCAAAAGTAAAGAGACGAACTGCGCGGTTCGTATCATGAAAACGTCTTTTTTACTAAAGAGTAGAAAAAGTAATCGTCGTTTAAGAGGAGTCACTTATAAAATGAAACCTTATGTTTTCCTTCCCAGGCACGCCATTCAAATAGAGAGTAGAAATTGGAGATAAAGAGAATCTTTCTTCTTTCACAGTTGCTCTATCACTATGACGAGAAAAAGTCAAGCATGAGTAAAACAACAGGTGGGAAGATAGAGAGCGGCAATCTCTTTTGTCGTCATCTTTTTTTTGCCTTATTGATCATGACTTATTATAAACAGTTGGTTTCATTATGATAGAGGCTACGTAAGGAAATTTTCTCGATGGAGTTCGATTGTAGAATAGAACTTGTCGTGTTGAGCAGAAAATTTGCAAATTCACATCTTCTCTCAATGTGCAATTTGTAGATATTAACAAAATTCGTTCCTAGAGACTAATCAATGAAAACACTCTCTTCTACAGGTTCTCTTCTTTGGTAGCATAAATCTTATGTACCGAGAATTGCATATTTGCGTAAATTTTTTTTCGTTGGAAGACACCCAATTATCTGTGTCTCTTGGGGCACGTTACAACCAAGGTTTCCAGATCGAAAATTAAAAGATTAGAAAAATTTTTCTTAAAATCGTAGAGTATTTTTTTAATGCTTAAATAGCTAGTCTGTTTTTTTCCAATGGCACAATATCCTTCATCTTGTTTCCGTGGATTGTTCGAAACAATATCTTAAAAGATATTTGATAAACAATTAAAGAAAAAAGAAATTTACATAGACAATTTACTCATTATTAAGATTTGAACAGAATCACATTGTTATTTTTCAAAAAATCTTGTAACCAACTTGACGAAAGAGTAGAATCAATATTGTAAATTCATACAAGCACATACATTTCACAAAACTTAGGCAAAAGAAGGTAAGATTTATTCTGTATAACGTCCGTTTTTGTTCATACTTCCTTATTAGCTCGAATGTTCTTCAAATCACCAGGGTGAGGTAACATGTATTCATAAAAATGTCCACAAGACAAACGAAACTCAATCCAATTTTCAATTCTGCAACAGCTAATTGAGTACCCATACGATTATGATTGGTTTTATTGTATCTAGAATGAAACAAAAAAAAACTCAAAAAGGAAAATATTCTTAATTATCAGTATAGTAAACGCACAAAGAAATTGAGCTCATGAGGCTGCAGCACCCAATAATTATAGTGAAATATATCACAATATATGTGCAGTAGCGAGTCCTCGTTAAATTATTCTAGAATATTCTAAGAACTCGAATTCACAAAAAGAAACTTCAAAAATCTGAGAAAAATTAGAAAATCAGAAGGCGATCGGGAAAATATGCTAAAATCGGAACGGTGGAGAGTCTTCCGAAAAAGTTTCAAAAATCAGAATTTTTCTTGCCATATTGGAAGATCTAATAACCCTGAATAAGAACACTCTTTGATTGATAAAACCATATTCGATGAAGACGACTCAATGATACATATCCATCCAAACAAACAAAGACACCTAAGCCAAGCTGATGATTGAGGTGCAAAATAACTAAGAAAAGATATTATTTTGCAAGGTATTAAAGAATATCTTAGTATGAATTTGATAGATGGTTTTGAGATAATGATCAAGATTCCATCCATATAACATCAATATATTGAAGACGATCATTGTACGCATATAATGAAATGTTGGTCTTGTTTTAGTACTTCGAAATGTTGATCGACAAAGAATAAATAATGTTAGAAGATTGAATAATAATCAAAGCTTCTCATGATAGACCACTCGTTGTTATTCCTGTTGTATTGACACTCGACATTATGCTATATATTGTTCATTTGAAATGATCTAAAAAGAAAAGTTTCATCAAGAATAATTCGTTTTCTTATTCCGTTCGACAGCATAGAAACCTGTTGGGACAAGTAATCTTACTCGTTATGATAGTGGCGTGGCATTTTGTCAAATATGTATATATATTCCTCCAAACATAATATCAGTTTTAGAAGATCCTAACTAATTTTTCATTTATTTGATTATTGATGCTTATTTTAGAATTATTTTTCTTAAAAATTTTATGTATCGAACGGCAATGATTGTACAAATGTTAAAAAGAGCAACAATATTAGGTGCATACATACGGAAGAAAAAAATTTTGTTGTGTTTTCAGGTAAACTAAATATTACAATTTACTGCAATCTATATAAATTAATCACGACAGTTCTCTAACTTTCCTGTATATTTGCATTTGCGTTTTCAGCTTAAAGTCTCTTGGTGTTTGACTGTCACTCAAAGGCTTATCTTGAATGATAAATTGTATGAAAGATACCGACGATGACAGTTTAGTTATCAACATCATAACTCAAAGCAAAACTCCTTCATATGATATTTTTTGATACTGACGTTGATTATGATTTATTTTCTCATTTAAATCATCTCTGATCATTGTAAAGTGGTAGTTATTTTTTTTTAATCTCAAAAATTATCACTAAATAAGACTTAACTGTCTATTACGTATAGGTTTTTATTCTAAATCTATATTTTCCAGCACATAAATAGTACTTTATAAAACTAAGATCTCATTTTTTGCATAGTTTTCAAGATAATCTCACTGTAAGAATGATGATAACACAAACAAAAATCATATCAAATTTTACCGTATAAAAATCAAAAAGCTTGTTAACATATTTACAAATAGTTTGTCAGTAGAAAAACTTTATTTTTTTCCCTAGGCCTTTTCCTTCAAGTGTTCGGAATTAGGTGAAAAAATGTTTTTCGTGTTATCTTATTAGTTTTTCAACATTGCATTATCCCACTTTTGTTTTATTCAAAATAGTGCATTTTCTAATCTTCAAACTGAAAATCATTTTTAACCGCTATAACAATTAGTTATCTGTAAAATGATGACATTTTTCAAGAAGTTGTGTTTTTTTCATGAAAATACACGTTGGTGTGAGTGTGGGTGTGGGTGTAAATACAACGAAGAACAACAATGATACGCACACCCACCCATCCTCTCACCCGTACCTACACATCCACACCCACCCAATAAAGAGAACAAGTTTAATATTTATTGTTAATTGTTCTTGTATATAGAATATTTGAATAAAATTCTTTTATCCAATATTGATATGAATATATTCATGTAGCTCTAATAAATTATTTAATAAATTTTGTAATACAGAAGATAAATTTCATATTATTTTAAATTTATTAAAGATAAAACAATCTATTAACTCGTGATATATTTATTTTAAATAAATCTTTCTAGATAAATTATTTTTTGATAAGATTATGAAATTATTTATAAATGTTAAGACATGTTTCGATAAATAATATAAATATATAAATTGAGAACAAATATCAATCGATATTGATGATGTATATGTTAAATAAATGTTTATTTGAAATAAAATTGATAATAATAAGAGAAAATATTCCATAGAAATTCAATTTAGATTTCTGAAATAAACACTTTTTTTTTAAATAGTTTTATTAGTAGTTTTTTCTTGTCAAATTTTATTATGAAAAGGTATGAATTGCCATAGAATTCCACTATGAATTAATGATAAATGGATGGATTTTCTATTTTCTTAACAAAATCTCGTATATTTATATAAGAATAAAATGTCTGAAAATAATTACTGAAGAATAATAAAATTTTCTTATCAAATTTATTCTTGATAAATCAATTATATAAACATATTTTAGTTTATCTTAAATAATAATCAGTAATAAGTAAATAATTGAAAGAGAAATTATTAATCAATGATTAAATAGAGAAATATTTTCTTCTATTCGAATTAATTATTCTGTTAGTAGTATTTTATTTGATAAAAATTGATACGAAGTTTATTTAAATATTTCAAAGAGAATCGATCAGTAACCTTTAAAACAAATGTCAAATAAAAATGATTTAATCGATAATATAAAACAAGACTTCAATTCAAATTAATTTTTCATCTTATAGAAAAGAAAAACTATTTTTTTTTAGGAATTTTATTTTATTAATTATATTTCAAGTCTAATCCATACATTCAATTTGTTTAAGTGTTTTTTTTTGTCTGACTTGTACAAAAAAGAAGTATATATATATATATGTATAAATATTTAGGAATAGTCTTTAGTATATTTTGATAGTATTTTTCTCTTTGAATGTTCAGTTCGAAGACAAATCACATCGAATGACATAAAGATGAAAGGTTTTTCCAAATAAATATTTCATAATGATTTTCAGATATATTTATTCGATTTTTCTTTTGAAAAACATGATTTTTGATTAAAATAAAAAAATAATTATATTTTAATAAATAGATGTTAAAGTGTCACCTATATCAATCGATTGTCAATGACAACCAATTGAGTAATGGTTGCCTGTTCTTCTCTTGAATATTTTAAAGTACAATGATGATTTCGAGCTCAAGTGATGTTTATTCGGATCAATATCAAAGTAAGTTTGTTTTTTTTTAAATTAAAATAAAAATAATCGAAAATAAATATATTTAGGTGAATATGAAAATCTCGAATTAGTTCGTCAATTAGATGATAATGAAAAATTGAAAAATGGTAATGTTAATAATCTTGAAGAATTATTAAAAAAATCTCGTCGATTAAATAATTCAAAATCTATTCGTTTAATTGATGAAAAACTTGAAAATTTCTCAACAAGAAAACGTCAATCAATTGAAAATTTCAATTTATCATGTAATCAATTAGGATTATCTAATCAATTTAATTGGGCACAATTACCAAAAAATCTTCGAGTATTCGTTTTTTTTTTATTTATTTATTTTATTAAAAAATTTAATTTAATTAAATAGTCATTAGAATTATCGGGAAATTTTCTTTCATCAATAAATGAAATTGAAAAAGGAAATAATCAATTAGAAAGTCTTGGCCTTTCATTTAATGAATTAAATCAAATATCCAATGTATTTTCACTTTCAATATGGTATTTATATATATATATATATTTTTAAATAAAAAGAAACGATTTTATTTTTCAGGCCAAATTTATGTTTGCTTGATATAAGTTATAATACGTTAAGTAATCTAGAAGAAACAATTGAATCATTAAAAAATTTATCAAAACTTCGAATACTTTATTTACATGGAAATCCATTATCAGTTTGTTTTTATTTATATTTTAAATAGAATAAATTCTTTTGTTTTTTTATTTTAGTTATTAATTGATTATCGTATATATGTTGTTAATTCTCTTGAAAAATTAACTACTCTTGATGACATAACAATAACAGCTGAAGAAAGATTTCGATCACGAACATATTCAATTAATGATCGAAAAGATAAAAATTATGCACTTTTTCAAATAACATTTTCTACTATTGAAAATGTTCCTATACCACCGATCAATCAAGTAAATAATAATACATTAAATAAAATAAATTCTATTTAAAAAAAAAATTCTTTAAGAATGAATGGCCATTACAAATTCATCGTTATAAAATGTCTCTTGATTGGTTTGAAGAAGATGACAAAAAAAAAGATATTGAAATTCCATTTGATAAAATGGCAAATTTTAAAAGATTTTTAAAAAGTCAATTAGAATCTTCACCTGCTGAACATAATACAAATATTGATTTATCACCAAATACTTTAAATTTAACAATTAATTCAATTATTCCATTTCGAGATTTTCTTTTTCATGGTACAGCATGTAGATTTATTCATCAAATGGTATTATTTATTTTATATCAAAAATTCTTTCAGATATTAGAACTTCAGATTTGTAACACATTCTAAAATCCCCTTTGTCTCAAATTTCCTAAAGGACCCTGCCGAATTTTGTGGCCTAGTTCGAATAAGAACATCTTCTATATGGTTTTCTAGAGAATTTTAAAGTATATCGAATGGTATATCCGAAGTCAAATTTTTATTGAGTTTTCATTTAGTGAAAATCCATATTCGAGGTTTAACCCTTTAGGAATATACATTTATTCGACGCTTTATCATGCTCTATAATAAATCTATGTGAATTTCGTCTTTAAGCGTAACTCAATACAGTTTTCGATGCTCTTTAATTATTTTATAATTGACAAGTTCTACCGCAGTTGTATTATAATAAAAAGAAAGGGTTGTTTGTTAAAGATCTAGCCAGTTTGTTAACGATATGATAACCAGTAAAGTATGTCTCATCATTTGATGTAGATAAGTTCTTTGGTAGATTAATTAAAATTTGTTGACCTTTTCCACATCTATATAGATTCTTTTAGAGTTTCACCCATACATAATATTCGTATGATTAGGAATGAAATTGATCAAAGAATTCAAAAAAAAAAAAAAAGAGAAAACCATTATTTGAAACCTTATTTCCGCATTTTCTGTATAGGAGTCCGGAGTCGGTCAAAACGTTTTTACCAATCTACAAAGAACTTATTTATATCAAATGATGAGGCATACTTTATTGATTATTCAGTCCCTAATCTTTCGAAATATTTCATCTATCCAATAAGTAGAAGCCAGTGATATGCAATTTTTCAGAGAGTTCCATGTTGTTGCTCCATTGTCCTGTGCTACAGGACTGAGTACACTAGAATGTCATTTTGTCAATAAATACCTCATAACTATGGCAGGTGGCCTCTCGTAACTAGAAAATTGTTCCAGTGAAACTTATGGATTATAAAAATTTAAAGAGTATTCATAACTCTATTGAATTACGTCTAAAAGAAAACAATAAACCTATATTTATTAGCAAGTATCACAATGACTTGATTATTTCCATGTTCTTGAGAATTATAAGCAGTATATGGATCCTTAGCATATAAAGGCTCAACAAAAAATTGACTTCCTGCATACCATTCGATGTGCCTTAAAATTCTCTAGAAAATCATATAGAGGATGTTCTTGTTCGAACTAGGTCACAAAAAATGGTACAGTCCTTTATATAGAAAAACATGCTCTCAATTTCAGACTTGTTGCTTCTAACAAATATTTTAATACTTAAAAAAGTAAAATAAGAGAAAAGTGAAGGAAAATTTATTTCCAGCGTCGTTTTTAATCCTTTCCATTCGAATGTTATTATTTGGCAACATCGAACGTATATTTTGAGAAGGATTGATTTATTTTAGTTCTATGTTAGATTTTAACAATTTTATAATCACTCTAAAACATTTAAACACATTAAAAATCATTTTCGTAATAAAGTAACTTGATCTATTCGAAATGCTCTAAAAAGACATACATCCAAATCGTAACAAATTATTTTTCTGTAAATCAAAATGTTCAATATGAGAGGAAGCTTCTTTTAAATGATTTTTTGATAGACATGTTTTATATTGCATC